TTTAAGATACAGTATAAACTGCGACTAATAATAGTTAGAATTAACACTATGGTTAAAAAAACAAGAACTGATAAAAAAGATACAATCTGTAAACATTGTGATCATGAATGCTCAATACCCAAAAACTTCATGAATATCTTAAGCGAAAAAATCTATATAAACAGCCTCTATGCATACTATTTCTCTAGTACTTACACAGTTACCTGATCATAATGGTCAAGAGCCTCTAGATGTATACTACTAAAAGCTTAAAAATATAAATAAAATAGTATATCTATTAGCTATCACCAGATTTAATGCATTAGTAAGAAGCAATATTATGAGAAATAAGATGTCTTAAAAGTTTGCACCTGTTCCTGCTAATGATCCTTATGCTAGAGGTATTTTATTATTAATACTGAACCTCTTTTCCTAGTCTAATTACGTGAAAGATATAGAAAAGTTATGGTAAGAATTAACCAAAGAGCTATATTTACTCTTGTTAATTAAAAATTCTTTGAAACAGATACCCTAGATAGTTATGAAAAATGAATTAAACCACTAGTATAAGCAATGTAAGATACTGATGCTATATCTTATTTATTTAATCATTTGCCTTCTAATTTAGAAATGAGAGTTAGAATTGCTAACCTTGCTACAGTCAATGCATTTTTTACTGAGTTGCATAATAATGGTATAAAAGTGTAAGCAAAAGAATACAAGCTTCTGCATCAGCTCTAGTTAGTTTTACTACTCAATTACAAAAAGATTTGTTAGATAAAGGGCTTAAAGTAATTGCTTTTATGAAACAATTTGCAAAAAATTTGCAATATACAGGGTTAGCATCAGATGTTAATATTCTAAATCATTTTATTTATGATGATCTTGGTAAAAGGTTAGAGCGTAAAACAACTCATGTTAAAAAGAGCCCCTTCTTAGAGTTATAGATTAGAAATACAAATGCTACAAAGAAAGCTGTTAGAAAGGTAATACAAAAAATACCAGTTAAATAAATTGTTTCTTAGAAAGTTGTTCGTCATTACTCAACCTGTAGAAAGGTTAGCCATACAAAGGTTAATTGTCTTAGAGTTAAGCGAACAAAAAGGTTAATTATGTATATCAAGATAAAGTAGAAGTTCTTGAAAACTCTGAAGAAGAATACATAGAAGAATATATAACGGAAGAGAAAAATGAAGCTGAAGAAGAAGAAATCGAAGAAGATGATGAATATGTTAAAGAAAATGATAGCGAATCTAGAAACTGTTATGATGTAAAAAAAGTGGCATGTAGTGAAATACCTATAAAAAAGAAAAAAGCAACCAAGAAATCTCTTACTTCTAAATCTCGTGCTGAAAATACCAAAGTATCGAGCAATATAATTAGCCATAAGACACTTTACATAATTACGAATTAAATATATCAAATAGCCTTAAAATCTATAATATTATCAGTAATCTCCTATTGTCTTAAAGAGATTCTTATAAAAATTTTAAAATTTATTAATGCAATAGAGCCTATATTAAAAGACCATTACTTGAATACTGTTATATCAAATGACATAGTTAAAAGAAAAGAATTAGCATAGGAGAATATTACAAAAAAAGTACAAGAAGTCTTGTTTCTACTATTACAAACAATAAATACTGAGCAGAAGCCTTTTTACAAGTTCTGTCTCCTTTTCAGATCATTCAGAAAGAGCAGGTCCTTAAGGAACTGCATCAAGCTGAAAAAATAGCAAATAATATTATGAAAATAGAAATATTATTAGATAATATCTATTTAGGAAGTGGGCATACTTTGAATTATGCTATTAAAGCATATGCTTAATATCATTTAACTGAAAAAAAATAACCAAATATATTTGTTTAAGCCTTTGGAGATAAATTTTCTTTGAATAAAGGATGCTAATAATGTTGCAACTATTTATTGTAAAATAGGAAATTTAATAATTCCATGCATAATGATAGATACAGGCTCTAATTCTTCTATTTTTTCAGATAATATCACAAAAGTTATTGAAGAACTATTAGATATTAAAATTGATAGGAAAAAAATTCATAGATTTAATGGAGTTACAAGTTAATTAATATCTATAGGTACTATAGATAATGTTTTTATAACAATTGGTTCCGGAGAAAATACAGCTACTATTATGGATAAATTTTCTGTTATATCTGCAGAAAAAGATCATAATGGAAATGCTAAATCTTTAGTAATTCTTAATACTCAATGGCAATATTGAGCTAGATAGAAGCCTTTAATAAAAGGAGAATTTAAGGTTACATGTAACGAAAAGACTATTATTATCCTCTATCAGTTTACAAATCCTAGCGCAATGTTTATACAGTAGAAAAGGAGGATCCTAAAAGGATTATTTCTATAAAGTTAAAAAAATCTAGCAGATTGTACATGTCAGTACTATGAAAAGGAATTCAGATATCCATGTCACTTAATATAGCATATAAAAGTAAAAAATAAATATAATAACAGTATCTTGACAGTGTCACAACAGTGAATGATAATTTTTTATTAATGAAAAATAATGTTTCAATAGTGAATAACAATGTTTTATTAATAAATGACTGGAAAAAAATACTATTTCTATTCAATTAATATTAGCTTAAAATGATCTGACTTAGAAAATACAGTTATTGTTTGCACTTTCCTTTCATTTTTTTATGACATTTAAGTAAATAAGGATATTTGAAATCATGCTTACAAGTTTTACAATAACCATCAAATAAATTGTCTGGTTCATTATCTGCTGAATAATATTCTTTATCATCATTTGATATATCATTTTGTTTACTAATTTCAGTCTTATTTTTAGATATAAAATTGCTAAGCCTTATATTCTCATTCTTAAAATCGATAACTTTCTGTTTTAGAGAAATTATTTCATTTTGCATTTCTGTAATTTTTTGTATATATGTATTCTCATATTACAAGTCTACAACTTAGTATCATAATCTACAATTTTCTGATTCTATAATAGAAAAGGTTTAAATAATATAAGTAATAGTTCAAATATTTTTTTTGAATAAATATGAAAAAAAAGGAGTAAAACTGGAATGAATTTAGATAATCAGATACACATTCAGAAAGTATATCATTTTTAGGTATTTTTATCATTCTTTGCATTTTTCCATTTTCTAATTCATAATTCAGTGTCGTAATAGAAAAAATATGAACTTAATTCTATTATCGCATCTTTTCTAACATGAGGGTTATAAGAAATAATCTTATCATTAAGAGTAATAATCTTTAAGTCCTTAGCAAAGATAACATTCTCCAAATCTTTATATACAGATTTAGCGATCTTCTTTATATTCTATTTTTTATTCTAAGCTAGAAAATGGTAGAGGATAACTTGTTGATCTTTTTATCTTTTACAGTATTAACTTTATCTAAAGCAGAGATATCTAGTAAGCAACTCCTCAATATCCAGATGGATACTCCTAATCTGCTTCTTAAATAATAGTTTATTTTTGCGATTTATAAGGGGTTTCCATACATTCTTTTTTATGAATAGGGATAATTGGTCAAGAAAATTCTTATAGTGTTCATTAAAATTTGGTTGACTAAACATATGTTCAATTAAAGGTAAATAATATAGTCTTAAAAAATTTTCAGAAAAAATATTTCAGAAAGTCTAAAAATTCTATATTTTCCTAGAAGTTTAGGTATTTCATATGTTTCTGGTAAAATTTTCTATATAGACAATAGCTAAAAATTTGTTGAGCCCTAGATTCTGAGAAAAAATACCAAAAAAATGTTAGAAAAAATTTATATAATACCTGTTTTATGTTAGTTCCATGATACTACCCTAATATTATTATAGTGCTAAATAATTTTTAGATTATGAGTTGATTAGCTAATTTTATTCTGATATTTTTATAACAGTAAGGACTTTTTCTACCCCTGCATAATTTTTCGATTCAGTATAGTATATGCAGATTCACTTGATATTAAGCTTTGAAGAAGCAATATCATGTGACATACATAACAGTATATGTATAGTTACTATAGAAAATTATTCTACTGCACATGTTTCATCAACAAAAGAAGGGCCAAATCTTGCTAGCTTATTATTTCTGATTCACTCATCTAAATGTTTTAATCTAATAATAAAAGACTATTGAGTGGCAAATTTCAGCGATCTAAAAATCATATGTTTTCTTTAAGGGATTAGACTACTTGATCTTTATTTTGGTTTATAGCATTTGACTTTTATTTCTTCAGATGAATAGCATTCAAATGCAACTATCTTCACTTCAGACTCAGATAAACTAGAATCAGATGATTCAGTTATAGCATTATATAGATAACAGATTTTTCAGTTAATTCTTTTAAGATTTTGATGTATTTTAGTTACATCACGTTCTAATACTATTTAATTTCTTGAATAACATCTACCTTTTCTTTTTTTAAATAATATGTATGATACTTTTTAGAAGGCATTTTTATAATCTGAAAAAAAATAAACTAAATATTTATAGCTAAACAAAATCTAAAATATTATGTTAACACTATAACTTGTCTTTCTGTTTGTATATATGAATTATTCATTAGATGACTAGATTATCATTACTTTGAGCATCTGTTCTATTTCATCATATGATCTTTCGCGATTCTCTTTCTTAGCTATATTATAATAAAGCTCATATAATTCCTTTAAGCTAGTACATAGATCATTATCTATATATCTTTTGTAATAATTTTCTAGCCTTAGAGTGTATGCCTTTTTATTAGAAAACATCTTGACTGCAACTGTCTTAATATAGTCATTCAGATTCTTTTCAGCTCGCAATTTCTTTAGATAGTCTCTATAGTTTTTCATAAGATTATCATATTTTTTGCCTTTTCGCAATGCAATTTTTATAACTTTAATTTGCGTAAGTTTTATATCCTTATGATTAACCATTTTGTATTGTTTCTACTATAACAATAGAAAAACTTTAATTAATAAAATTTTATTATTTGATAATTTTTACCTGAAAAAAATATTTGTTATAAAGTATCTATTTTTTGACTTGAAGTCTAACTTTCATAGCCTTTTCTTCTGCTTTCTCAGGAGATATTTTAGATGCTAGCAGGTGTTTGTATAATCTAATTTACCAATGTCCATATGGGAGAGTTCGAATTTCATCAAGTAAAATTCAGCACTTGTTATTATATGAATTTAATCCTATCTTATTTACCCTTTTCAGATATATTTGATGATTATAACTTCAGAGGCCATACATATCATGCTGGATTAGTTTCTTGTTTCTAAGATATTCTAGGAACTTATCATGTCAAAGTTCTCTCTTAACCACGCATTTCTTAATACCCTTTGCCTTTTGGATGCTATGTTTCTTTTTAGAGTCTTCTGAATTAGAATTATCAGAAGTTTTAGGATCATGACCTGCTGGAAGAACTAAATACATTTTTGGCTTTAGGAATATTGATTCACCTATTGAATCCCCTTTTGTCTCATCTTTCATTAGAAATAAAGTTAAAATTGAAAATGTCTAGTTTTTCTGCTCAATCTTTATAAATATTCTCAATTTCTATATACATTATAAGCAAGTCTGTATCTATATAAAGTAGACAGACCTTTTTTTCATAGTGAGACTTTATGTAACTATACCAAAAGTTGAATATTATGGTCTTGTTAATGTCGAGAATTGCCTACCTTACATAGATTAGTTTGTTTAAAGTTACTGTGCTCTTTAACATGTGAACTGCTGTAATCTCTTCTTTGAATGCTTTAAAGTTTATATACAATAGTGAACTTGTTAGACGTTTGATTTTTTTATCCTTTCTATTCAAAGTAATTCTACTTTCATATATTTACGAACATTTTTATTTGTTTGCTAAAGACTGCATTATTTTTTACCTTATAATATATGATCCAAACTTATTCCCATTAGCTTTAGCAATTTTACGCTTACAAATATTTTTCTCAATATAGTCTTTTATCCATAGAAACTGCTGAAATTTAAGAGCACCATAAATCTTTATAACTTTCATTCCAAATTTCATATATGTCTGAAGAGCTCAATAATGAATCACATAATTCTTTTTAAGATAAAGGGTTTAGATGAGCTTTTTTCCTGTTGTATATTTTCTGTCTTAACTTCTTTATCATATATTAATCTTTCATTATACAAGCTAAGCTATTCTTCTGAAACTATCTGCTTTTCTGGTGCTAATGGATAATCTGCAAAGTAATCATATAAGTATACTAGAACTTCTAGATTAACTTCAAGTGTATAATCTATTTTTGCATCTGACGCTATGCTTTAGATATCTGGTATTTTCTCTGATGCTACTTTACCTAAAATTTTTATAGACATGTATTGGGTCATTGTACCTAAATATAAAGTATTCATATCCTTAAATATGATCCAGAAATTTAGCTTACTGGACTCATAGTCTGAATGTTGTAGATTATTTACTTTAGCATATCGATGACTTGTCATTATTATACCTTCACGAATGTCATTTTCTATCGTTAAATATTTATCCATATTTGTCATGAGTTTGAGTTCTGTCTTGCTACTTTTGTAAAAAGAATCATTAAACATTCCAGATGCTGAAACATAATGAGAAGAATCTAAGCCGTCATTTTTCAAGCACATAATAGTATAGTTCATGAAAATATTTGCAAGTAAAAGTACATCTATCTCAAGATAAAGATTATGATATTCTTCATTTCGAATATTTGCCATATCTTTTGAGCATGTTCGTAATCCTCTTTACTAATATTTTGCTGACTAAGAAGTGAATAGAAGTCCTTTTTAGACAGAAGGCTTGTTCTGTCGAATTTTTGTCCAGTCGTATAGAAAAACACTCTTTTAAAAAAAGAAGCTTAATCTTATCTATTGAATAGCCTTTCTCAATAAAGTACCTAATAGTTAGAGAGAATTTTTTGAGTTTTCCTCTTAGACATTTTACTAATTTATCTAATCCTATTCCCATATGCTGAAAGCTATCAAAAAATCAGAGCTGACCAACATTTATGGCTTTGTACTTTCTTATATTTTCTAGAATGTATTTTAGCTTATCAGCCGTAAACTTGCTCACAACTTTCATAAGTGAATGAGAATCATAACCTCAGAAATTATAGCAATAAGAGGTACTTTAGTTTCAAATGAGTTTATTTGCAATTTTTTATTATAAGAGTCATAAGCTGAGCCTCGATACTTTCCATTTATATGATTATGATCTTTTACTTTTCAATTAAGTGTATTTAAAGCTTCTCGATATCTTTTCTATACTACTTTCTTTTTTAGATATTCTTTTTTCATGTATGATTTCCATTCTTTGATTTCTAATAAATTATGCTTTGCTTCTTCGAGTTTTGTACTATTTCTGGTACTAGTTTTAAAAAAGATCCTTTGCAAAACCAGCATTCTATTGCCTTATTGTATACTTTAAGATCTTCTGGTACTATTATCATTTCTGTAGATACAGATAAGTCCTTTTGTATATTTGCCAACTTCTTCTCAATTTTTGTAATAAATCTTTCAAGCACATCTGGACTCCTATATAAATTATGACTTATAATTTTATAGTTAAGTGAATTATTTATATAAATAACTATATAGTAATAGTCATACGATTTATGCATCTGTAATCTTTCAGTATAGATTAACTTAATCTTTTCTTTTAGGATTAACTTTTTGGTTAACATTTTTAGATCTCAAAAAATGTGATATGGATTTGGTTGCATGCATTTATGATTATAAAAAGCTTTGATACTCCTATTCTTAACTGGTATTTGTGATTACTAGGAGGCATTATTTAGACCTTTGCATTTTAGCAAATATTCATTATATCTTATCTCTGAAGAGTATACATAAAGATAATAACGGCAGAGATATTTTCGCCCTTTATGTTTATTATAATTGTATACTAGCTTATGTAAATCTTTGATAATACAATAGTAACTTCTTTCTTCTTCTATAATTACTAGAAGATTTACTTGCTTATATTTATTCTCTCTTCTTTCTGAAAGTTAAGACATTTGTTTTAGTTATGCTATTCTTAGACACATAGACTGATTTCAGAGTTATTTTTTTCAAATTTTTTATAAACTGATGTTGAAACTGATACTAAAATTAGGAGGTTTTCCATATTAAGTTCCTCTATGAAATCTCCATATAACAGATGCAAATTTCTTTCTGAATGAACTTTAACTGAATGTAAAACTTCTAGGATATACCATCTGAAACACCAATCATTATTATTTGGAATATTAATAATTCTGTTATTACATTTTGGCATAGTTTCAGATAAAGGTATATATGCAGTAGGATCAATAGGATTGAAATTAGCTATTTTTATACTTATTTCTTTGATATAATCAAAATATGCATTTAACATTTGGTATATAGTTAATTCTAACCATTTTGCTATTAATTGCTTATATAATTTTTTCTTTAATTATTTATTTCTTATGTATCTATCACTTTTTAATCATAGAAATCCTACTGAAGATAAGTATTTACAAGCTTTCTGAAAGGTTCTAGCTATTGCAAAACTGAAGCATTAACTAATTATTAATTAATCTTTTCAAATCTAGTAATAAAAAAGTAGAATAATTAGCGAATATTCTTGTCTATTTCTTTGCAATACTGAAAAGGCTTATGAGAATGCTAGTATTAAGCCTGAAGGATGTCAATTCTATTAAAAAACTAAAAATTGTATATCTTGTTCTGATTGCTAAAAGCTTACAGTCTCTACTTGTAAATGATGTTTATTATATATATGAGATTATTATGTTATCTGACACTATGATAGACTTCAACGAGAAAGAACTTATATTAACCAATCTTATGCTAGCTAATTTTATGATAGACTTTGATCAGAGATACAAGAAAGAAGTTATGAGAAAATAATGGTTACCTATAGAAATATGCTTACAAATCTTAATATTTCTTTTTGCAAGAAATGCATCATTTTAATAAAAATGGAAGAAAGAGATTATTGTGTTAGTTGTCAACTAGAATAAATGAAAAGATAATTTTGGCTAACTTAAATTTTAGACGTAATATCTAATAGGTATTTGCTAAATTTTCATTAGACTTACTTTTTATTTTTTCGTTAAAGATTTATGATTTATATGCTATTTAACGAGCTATTCTATGTAAAACCTATTTTTAACTAAGAAAAAGTTAGAATAATTTTGTGAATTTTTTTAAATTTTTACAGAAGTTATTTTTGTTAGACTTTTATATAAAACATGTTAGTTAAGGAGCTAGCCTGTGCAAAACCAGTTCTTTATTCATAATTTTTGTCAGACTTATTATAGAAAGAATTAGGCTATTTTTTGTTAAGCTTATATTATAAATAAGAAGAGATTTAATAGGCTAACGCATATAGAAACAGATATTAGCATACATATTTATTAGACTTATGATAAGTCAGTTAGACTTATTTTATAGAATAGCATATTCTAGGAAAATTAGGATAATTTTTTATTAGATTTATTTAATTATTATACTATTTATTAAGCAAATACACATAGAGATAAGTCTTGATATATATATTATCATTAGACTTATAAAATTATGTGACTTATATTTTGTTAGATTTAAAAAAATTATTAAACTTATTTATGAAGTAATAAGAACAGTTAGACTTATTTTCGTTAGACTTAAAAAATCATTAGATTTATTTATGAAAAAATAATAATTGTTAAATTTATTTTATTAAACTTAAGTAGTTAATATGTTAATGAATGAACTAATTTGTGTAGAATCAATTTCTGATATAATAATTTTCATTAGATTTAATAAATATAACTGAAAAGTTGATATAGAAATTAAGATTCTAGAGCTGTTAGAAGTTTTTCTAATATAATAAGAAAAATTAATATTATTTTTAACATTTTGTGACCCATACACCTAATGTTTTAGTGGGATCAGACCTTTGGTCTTTAAAAGGTAATTTTATAGATAAAATTTTAAGTTATAAATAGTTTCTTAAAATTTTTAAAAAAAAAATTTTTTTTACTAAATTATTTACGTTATACTTGATCTTAAATTTTGATTGAATAAAATTAAAGTTGTTATAAATAAGATGCATAACATGTTATTACAATTAGATTTATCCTTATTTTAATTTTAATTTATAATTATTATTTTATTTATATTTTAATTAATATTGAATATTTTTATTCTAATATTTTTATTAATAAAATTAATAATTTTATTTTATAATTAATTATTAGTATTTATGTTTGAGATAAATTTATTATAATAAGTTATTAATATTTATTATATATTATTAATAATTATTATAAATTCCAATAATAATATTTATTTTAACCAATTTATTTTTTTTTTGAGTTTATAATAAAAAAATAATTTTATAATTAAGTTTAATTTAATATTATAAATATTTACTATTAGTTAACTTATTCAATAGATTTTTTAAAAAAATTAAATTATTTTTTTTAAAAAATTTTTATCAAAATTTATAAATTTTAAAAAATTTTTTTATTATTAAGTAATAATAAAAATTACTTATTATTTCAAATAATATTTATTTAATATAAACTAAAATATATATATCTAATAAATTAAAATTTATATTATTATTTATTATAATTAAGATAAACAAAATTTAATATTAAAATTTAATTTTAAAAAATTGATTTTTATAAATAATAATACTTTATAAATATAATAAATATTAATTATTAAAATTATTTTATATATTTTATTTTAATTTATTTTTTTTCATATTATTATAAATCTTTTTTTTTTATTTAGTTAATATTTTATTAAATTATAAATCTTTATTTTAAAAACTTTAATTTTAATATTATAATTAATAGATATTTAATATTAAATATAATTTTTAAAAATTTTTTATATAAGTTTAATTAGTATTAAATAATATTCTAAAAATATTACTTTATATTAAAAATAAAAAAATTGGTTTTTTATTATATATTATGCTAATATACAGTAAAAGAATATATAAAATATTAATATAAAATTTTTTATGAAATAATTATTAAAAAATATTTTATTAAAAATATTTAATAAAATATTTATTTATAATTACAGATTTAATTATAATTTAAGAAATATATAATTGTATTTTATTTTATATATTTAATTATTTTTAGATTTAGGTATTTTATTATTAAAAAGAAGAAAATTTTAAAAAAATTTTTTTTTGAGTTAATATTAAATTTAAACTAATTTTAATAAAATTATATTTAGCTTATAAAATAAAAAATTGTTTATTTTAATAATTTTATAAAATATTTATTTATTTGATTCTTTTTAATATCACAAAATTAATTTAAACTAATTTGCAATTTGTAGTTACAATCTTTTTTTTTATTAATAAAACTTAGTTTTATAAAGTAAAATCATAAATTTTCTATAATATATATTATAATATTTATTATATTACATTTAATTTTATTATTAAAACTTACTGCAGTCAACTTTTGATATAGCGAATTCTTGATATAACGAATTTTTTAAACAAATATAATAAAAATACTCTTGTTATAGCAAATTGACTAATCAAATCTCTTAAAATCTTCACTATCTAGAGCATAGAGTTCATTATAACAAGAGTTGACTGTATATATAATTAAATTCAAATTAACTTATATATTAATTACTATATTAGTTTTTTGTAACAATTATTTTTTTTATTATTATTTATTTTAAATAATCATTAAATTTATATTAATTTAAAAATAATATTTTAAATAGGTTAAAATTAGTTAACGTTAACAAATTAATTATTAGAAATAATTTTTAATTTATAATCTTTAGTATTTCTTTATAAAAAATAAAAAATATTTATATTTTTATTTTTATTTATAGTATAAATTCGTAAAATAGTAATATTAACTAATCGTACTTTTTTAATATAACGGCAAATACTTTATATAGAAGAATTGCAATTTTTATTGTTTTTAGTTTTTGACGTTATTAGATTATAAATATGCATTGTTAATTATATTTTTAAATTTTATAAAATATTTTATTTATATATAATAAGGGAAGTTTGAATATTTTTAATAGAAAATTTTCATTATTTTATACAGTATATATTTAAATATAAACGGATTAAATTATTATAATGAAAACGAAAATCACATGTTTTATAATTAATTATTATTTAAAATACTATATACATAATATTATTTATAAAATTCGAGCCAATTTCTGGTTTGCACCTTCAACATCTTTTGGCTCGTTTTGCCAGTACGTTGAAGCAAACTTCGAGACTTTGCCAATCCGATTTAATTCTTTAATAGAATTTAAAATTAAAGAATTATAATAGTTTAAAAGAGAACTTTTAAAACTATTTGTCTAACAACAATGTTAGACTTATAATAAGATCCATATAATGGACCTTAATTGGAACTATTGTTCGCAATTTTTACATCGACCATTTCTCAAAGATATCACAACGTTCTATTTTAACGTTGGGAGAAAACATGATCGATGTTTGTGTTTTAGGGTTTTTGTTGACGACTTTTTGAAGGATATTCTTATTAGAGAACTTTTTTTTTACGTGTATAAAAAAGTTTGTAATATACATTTTATTAATATGATAATGTCGTTGTGGATTTATTTTTGAATAGTTTTAATAGTTTTTAATATTTCTGAGAAGAGTGATGAAAATGTAAAAAATTTAAATGTAAAAAATTTGAAAGTAAAAAATTTGAGAAAAGCCAATAAATATACAATTTATACCGTAAGGGAAACGTCAAAAAGAGTACGAAACCCCCTGAATCCCTGAATTTGAGTCACATTTTATTATTGGTAATTGTTTTTATTTCGCAGATAATCTATTTTATTATTTAGTTTCAATTTTATTAATACCCGTAAGCAATTAATAATACACAGAAACCTAACTTAAACACAACGTCTAAATTGTTTATGATTTTGCAAATAAAGGAACCGAGTGCGACCATGATAAAAATTTCTTTATATTTTTCGTGTTAATTTTTTATTTTAATTTTTTTTTTTTAAAAAAAAAAGAATATATGTATGTAATTAGAAAAAAATATGTGAAGTTGATCGTAAGACGTCAAGAACTGAATGCTGAATTATTGTTTCATAATAAATTCGTATCCAAAGGATTCATGGCAATGAAACGTTTAAAATATTTCTTACTTTTCAATAAATATTTAAAATTCAGCCTTGTTCTTTATCTGTAAATCTCTTACGGTAAAATGCATGAGCACTGCATCTCCTGGGTACACAAAATCTTTTGATTTGTCAAATGCCTTTATTTCGTGTAAACTGTCTTTTATAGCTGTACCTTCATTTAGGTGAGCTTCTTTTTTTGTTTCCATTTTGTATCATTTCCATCTTATTAAACACTAAAATTTTTCATACATTTAAATTATTAAACATTCTTTTTTTAGGTCTTGCATCTATATACTTTCCTTCGTTCATTTCATTTCTATTCATCCATTTCATTTTAATGATTAATTCTATTTTTTTTTAATTCGATGGACGAGTCTGGCAAATTATTAAATATTGTAATCTTAATTTAAAAATTTATTTTTATTGTATATAAATAATGAACTTTTTTTATTGGAATATTTAATTGCCTTTAAAATGACCGGAATTTTTCAGAAATTTCACTTTTTCGGTATATTTTTCGGACATTTTGTACAATTTCTTAGACATTTTCAGTAAATTATTGTTATTTTGTTTTATTAGCGTAACGAATACTTGGACCAATGAGATTCTGCGTAATCATGAGAATTTTAATATTATAAATTTTAAAAAAGCATATTAATAAGATGTTATTTTCAACATACAATGGGTATCACAAAATAAAATAAAAAAGGGATCGATCCTTAACTAGAGGTATGATCTGTTCATTCGAAATCCGGTCATTCGGTCAAAATCCGGATTAAATTGCAATAATTTACGGATTTAAGATTTTACCAAATTATCCGTATAATCCGTTGATCCGTAGTATATATGATATAGTACTATATATGCTGTAATACTATATATGATGTAGATGTATGCTGTATAATAAATTTCCTAAATAGTAAAACAATAAAAACAATGGTTAACAAAATTGGAAAACCTCATATTGATATAATGACACTGAACCAGAGCAACCAACTATAAAAAGGTTAGGTTAAATGAAACCTAAGGAGGAAGTAAAGTTAGAAGTTAGATCTGAAAATACTTTGAACCTTGTTTTAAGGAAGGAGTAAGATATGCAGTTTGTCAAGTAGAAGTAGTGGTTGGAAAGAAGTGTAAAAAGATCTATAAAGTTGCAATAGGAGATGCAGTAACAGGTGCAGCAGATGTAGTGGTAGGTGCAATTTGACTATTATTGTTAACTAATACACTTAATGTTGTACTAAATGTTGGATAGGTCGGAGGAACTTCTTCAGTAGTACTTTTGTTTATCTATTATTATAAATGAGTTTTGTAATATCAAAATAAAAAGCAGTTTTGCAAAATAACTTACAATTTCCCGCGCCCAAAGTTGCAATCTTGCTGGATTAAGTTGTAAATGACGACTATTTTGAACATAACATGGAGTTGAGTGTATGTCACACCTGTATTTTTCACATAACACAGAAATTATTTCTGCTCGTGTTCTTTCTTCCTTTGACAGTTCATCTTCTCTGGTGGCATGAGATTTTTTCTTCTTTTTAGGGCGTGATGTCATCCTTTTCTCTTCAGAAGCTGATGAATCACTCTCATTATCAGGAATCTAGGAATTTAGAAATTTACATCAAGTTAGAATGTCAAATATGTGAAAAAGATAAATAAACAATTGAATGTAAAACAGATCTTTACCTTTGATTAATGTTTTTCAATTGATTTGTTTTCTCATTTTCAGAATTTTCAATTATTACCATCATTGCCATTTTTTTATTAGCCACAATAAATTTCTTGTAATCATCAATAAACTCTTTGAAATCAAACTCATCTTCTAATTTACTTGAAAGGCCACGTGCATTCAATGTTTTATATGATATATTGTAATCTGTTGGCTTGAAATTTTCATTTTGAAGTGCTTTTTGAACAAAAGCATTGATCTTTTCTACAACATTGGTATATTCAACTGGTTGAATAGTTAGAGCTTTAGTAGAGGTTTTCTTGCCTTTTTTTTCAATGCTCACATGTAGCTTGATTTCGTCAATACCACATTCTTCAACTTCGGAAAATTCAGCTTTACTTTTCATTTTTTTTTTTTTTAGCCAACTTGTCTTTACTCTTCAATCTTTGAAACTTGCTATTACAACTAGTGCAAAAAGTAAAAGAAAAAGGCTTATTGAAGTTGTAATTATATTGAAATTTCGCGTTAGCAGCAAAAGAAAGTTATTTGCTGTTGTTAAATTTTCGTCTGGAGTATATACGCGTGAATAAATTTGTTGACCACGTTCTGGTTTGCTTACTCTTGTTGGTTTTGTATTTTTATTACAGTTACAAGGGTTTAGTTGAGAAAGATTAAACATTTTTGACACGCGAAACAAATGCCAGGACCATCATTGATAATCATTTTTCATTTTATTGGCTGTTTTCGCTGTTTTCGATAATTATGATCGATATGGCGCAGTTTACAGCAATTCGAAAACGGTCGAACAAATTTAGTTATAGAAAAGTCTGATCAATAAGTAACTCTTGTTATAACAAATTTTATGATAGGAAAATGAACTTTCATGGGACCGTTAAGTTGGGACCCAGTACTAAATTTCCAAAATAAAGGTTCTGGAATTTTATTTATTTTTCATAAATATTCCATTAATACAACTGGCAAATTTATGGGACTTTTAGAACCGCTTAATATCCCGGGTTCCAAATGTTAAAACCATACTAAACATTATCTCTGCTCAATGGTTTAGATGCATCTAGCTACTATTTCTGCTAATATGATATATAAGACTGCATCATGATCCCCAACAGCATCTTCATAATTTAAATTTCCAATGTTATATTTGATGGTTATTTTTCAACGTCTCGATATCATTAACATCAAGACTAAATAAGCTTTATAATATTAGTCTTGATTTAATTATGTTTTGCATATGCTTCGAAACATTTATACGCAGCACTTGTTTAACAACTTTGATCATTTCTATCAGTGATATACGGTATTTGATGATTTTGATCATCTTCCAGGCGTCTAATTTCTGTATGGTTTGGTAACTGCATAATTATTAAATGTGAAGAAAAATTTATTAATTAGTAATTTTATAAAACTATCATAATTTCTAAAAGGTTCTTAACGCTATTTACTTTGAAGACACCTTATTCCTGTATAGACGTCAGATCAGTTACTATAATTATTAAATGAAGTAATTATTTATTAGTAAATTTATAAACCTTAAGTTTCTCAACGCTATGATATTTACTTTGACAATATAGTAGAAGACTTTCTTCGAACACGCCCAATTCTTGTATGGTTGGTAGTCGCATAATATTGTGATAAGTTAAATTAGTTATATTGAGTTGTAACATTTTAAATAGTTGGTTTATTTATATAGTCCGAAATTTTCGTCTTAGATTTATGCAGAACATAATTTTTTAATTAAAGAGTAAATACGAATACCTGTGGTGTGAGGTCAACGTCAATTTTAGATCAGTATGATAATCAATTTTGTACTACATGAGATTTGAGAAATAAATTTTTATTTTACGCGTCTTTGCGTTTGAATTTTTTTATAAAATTTTAAATTCTTGATGTATAAACCGAAATATGTATTATAATAATTACCTTGTATTAATGAGTCAATTTTTGAAGATTACTAAAGATAGTAATTTTTTGGATTTAGGTGACACAACG